AATTACTGGATAAACAGACAACTTGTGGAGTCTGCTCTCTCTTTCCACCTTTACATGGGATCTGGGGGTCAAAGTCAGCTTGTCAGGTTTGTATCCTTGTGGCAAGTGTCTTTACCATTGGACAATCTGGCAATGGTCCCTCTCCTCCTCCTCTTTTTCTTCTTCTTCATCCTCCTCCTCCTCTTCTTCTGTATTCATATTGTACCACAAATGTCATAAATGGTTTTGTTGTTGTTGTTGTTGTTGTTGTTTTTCTGTTGTCACTTGTCTGAACCAGAGGCAAATGAAGTCCCTTTAAGTATTTTGTTTGTTTGTGCTGTAGGTTGATGCATTATTTATGGTGAAGAAACCAGGTAATTTGTCTTATAGAGTTTTCCAAACTTCAGATTTTGATTGTTGTATCTTTATAAAGAAATCAAAGAAACATGGAAAATCCAATTGTATTTGTCAACTGATCGTGAAAGCTGTAGGTTTGAACATAGTCAGGTTCATCTGGAGCTTTGTTTTAGTAGAACTTAGGAGGGCTTCTTTGCAGTGAGGTTTTGTTCTCTGTCAGAAGGCTCAGGACTTCTGAATGGGTATTTTTTATGCTCCCAAGTCTTAATCTGAGATCCAACAACTGATCTTGGTCATATTATTGCTTATTCTTTAATATATTTTGTTTTACAATTCTGTTTCTGCATGAACATGAGCTATCTATATAATACAAAGTGATGCCTAAACAGCTTTTCCAGATGAACACAACTATGAGGAAACAAGTAATTTTTTAAATTTATTCTTCTCTCATACAATAAATATATCCTGACCACAGCTTCCCCTTCCTCCACTCTTCCCAGTGCCCACCCACCACCTTCCCTCTCTCCTGGATCCACTGCTTCCCCAGAAACAAATATTTATCAAAATAAGAGGAGCCACAGAAAAAGCATATTTGAGCCATGTACAAGTTTAAATTCCACCAGAGAACACCATTATCTACAAAGGTGACATTATGGACCTATAGAAGCTCAGGAATTAGCAGATTAAAAAAACAACAGATTAAAAAATAGGCCCCTAGTTCTAGAGTTTTCTGGATATGAAGGGTAAACACATGACATTTGTCTTCAAGAACGTGGGATTTAAGTAGAGAAGAGGGGATTTGCGATCTTTGCTTTCTTCCTTATGAATAATGCATTTTATCTTACACCAGATTACCAAAGCATTCTATGGTGGGGTCGATCCAGGAAGTTTCATACTATTTGACCTGCCAATCATGAGGCTTCTGAGTCACACTGATGAGATGCTGACTCCCAACATGAGTGTTATAATGTCTGTCACAACATGAAAGGTATTCACTTAACTGACACAGGACAGAATCAGATCAACAGAAACATATATAGATTTCTGCATGCAGATATATACATGTACATATACATATACATATATATATACATATACATATATATATATATATGATAGACTACAAGAGTTGGAGAGCATCCAATTAAAGACATAACATATTTACACCAAGTTGAATGAAAAACCTGATATGATTGTTTCCTTTCAACCCATGGTATGGGGTTGTACGAGGATTCCTCTTTTAAATGGCCTTCTTGAGATATAATTTACATTAGTTACATGACCTTAAAATACACAACTCCATGATTCCTGTATATTCATAGGCTATGTAACCATCACCACATTCTCATCTCTATCTACTCTAAAATAAGTCCATACCCATCAACTGTCACTTCCTACTCTCCATACCTCATTATCTACGCTGTATACATCACTTATTCACTTCTCTATTAACTAGCCACTTACATGCAAATTTTTTAGATTGCTATGTCTAATGTGTCTCATTAAAATTCCTTTTATTTTTTACAATATCGTAAGAACAAGAGTGGCTTTGAGCACTCAACTGCATGAATTGTTATCTAAGATAGAAAGATGTAGCAAAACAACCAAAAGAAATACTGATTAATCCAATAACATGTTGTGGCCTAAGTAACCACCAGACATTACTGTCCAGGAATGACAGAATATGTGGTGTGACTTACAATAGTCAATTGCTTGTAATTTTAAATATAAACTTGAAGGAGGCATGTCTTTCAGAAATTTGTACTCATAGAACAGTAACATTTGCAGCCAATTCAATTCCTGACTTCACAGCTCACCATTTGAGCAACCCTGGATACACACAGGAATAGTGATGAGGCAGGCTTCATGAAGCTAGACTGTAGATCACAGATGTGATGCCTTAGAACTAAATTTGGTAATTCAATGCTCAATAAATACAAATTTTTGCTTGGTCAAATTCTAAAGTAGAATTCTTTCCTATGCCAACTTACCGCAGGCCACATTTGATTGGTGTTTTCAAAATCTCTATTCAAAGAAATTTTCTCCTTGAAGGCAATACATGGGGATTGAAGATGCTGTAATGTAGACAAAACAGCACTGAGCAGGCACAATTAAGATGAGAGCTGTAAACTAGCCTTTACTTTAGAGCCATGTGTTACATAAATAGCAAAAATGCTAATTTATTTTGTTCACCCAGCACTCATGTGGCAGAATTTTCTCTTCAGTATTAAAAGGAAAAATTGCAGTGGTAATAAAGCATATATTATGGTACTATACATGTCAAGCCTTATAAACCACATGTAATCCTTTATAAGTCAAAATGTTAACATTAACTAATGTTACTGTTAATTCAGTAATACCCTACCTGAAAAACATTGAAATCTGTGTGAACTGAAATGGGTGATTTGATTTTGTGTCCATACATATAAGAAAGTGTGACCATGAAAGGGTCTAGTGCCTTCCATGTTACACAGGAAGGAATCGAAGTGCATTTATTCATAATACTGTTAAATAATTTTACTTCTGGGATATCATGTATTTTCTGTCCTTTTAAAAGGTGTGCTGTTCAGTATTATTATGTCCGATCAGAGAACTCATGATACACAACATTTTCATACTTGGGAAGTGTTAACACATTACATTCCTTGCTTTGAAACATGAAAGAATTAATCAAAGACAACACCTTTTCATTTTTTTCCCCGTGAGACAATGTAAATGAGGTGGTTTGCATGCTACACCACTTGGGGTCCTAGAAGCCTCTGCATTATCCATCTGTGTGTTTGTGTGTTTACACCCCCAGTTTTCCAAATCATCTTGGCATAATTTTGTATTTGCATGAGATTTCATAATTGTTTTGCATGAAAAGTCATCTGTAATGTTAATGAGTAGTGTCTAACACCCCCTGCAATATCACATGCCATTAATCTTACATGATATTTTTCTTTTACGTTCAGTTACTGGAGTTTAAATATGCTTGAAATGTAAAAGTGGCATGACACTGGAGTGATGCAAGAATATGTAATGTTCCTTTAAGGAAAATATGGGGGCACTTCCCAGCCTTGTCTATGGCTGCCAGTTCTCAATTACAAGTTATGATTAAAACTCTATTAAACACAGGTGCTGTCTGCAGACTTAAGTTCCAAGAAAGTAGTGCTTTAATATGAGATATAAAACTGTTCCTGATCTGGCATAAAATTTAGCTCCTCTGACTTTAGTGAAAGATGTTTCAGTACTTCAGTGTTTCCTGAATGAACATGACCAATACTAATTTAATAGAGGAGCACAAGAGTACAAAACAAATGCCTTATTTGCACCAATTTTTTGTCCAGCTTCTAATTAATATGGGCACATGACTAAGTCCCATGAATGGGACAAAATGCTGATCTCTCAGCCAACAAGTACTCATTTCTTCCAATCTGTCACCTTGCTGGCTCCACATTTCTTCCTGCCAGTGGCCAATGCTAACCCTGGGTTAGAACACCCCTTTTCACAATGCCATTGGCAATTCAATCAAAAACCTATGTAAGTAAGAAACCCTGTTCCCTGGAGATGTTTTTCTAGTGGTTTTAAGCAGCTAAAAGATTCAAATCAGTCAAGTGTGGATGATAATCAGGCTGGTGAGACAGTTTTGAAACATTATAAAATATGAAATTAGTAAGATTTGAATGATTCCATTTCACAAAGAACAACCCACAAAGTATTTGTGTAACAACAGCTACCATGTGATAAATTGAGTTTTCTTTAAAAATCTACTGAACAAGCATGTCCTGATCACTGGAGTGATTGCATTTTAATAACTGTACTATAAAATATTTTATTTTTAATCCAGTCTCATTTAAACTAATAGATGGCTTGTACTTTGAAGATATTCATCCTAATTTTTTCCCTTTACCAAAATGTACATGAGTGACTATGATTTCTCCTATGCTTGGGTGATTGCCAAGTAAGTACCATATTAGAAGCTTCTGGTTGACTGCTTGCTGGCTGTCACCAATAAAAACTATGATACTGGCATTGGACTCAACCTCTCTGTGTTTCTCGAGGTAGTCCATAATGAGGATGTGAGGCAAAATTATCTTTTGAATTAAAATGTTACACTATATTTATCACGTATCATAAATCCACTTGCTTCCTTGTGCAGTTTTAATTAAACCCAAGCTGAACTAATACAAATTCAATTTTAAGACAGCTAGACAATGAGAAAAAAACCTATTTTTTAATAGTCAGTCATTTTATGCCTAACAGTGATAAAATGAGAATTATATAGCATTTTATGTGGATATTGCCTAGTGTGATCTTAACACCGGAAAAGTGTGTTGATTTGTAGATGAAGATTCAGAAGTTGGAAGAGATTCAGTTACCTGTCAAAGGTGACGGACAAACTGTAGAACCAGGATGGGTTTGGATCTTCCACCTTAAGACATCCCCGGTCACCATTTATCTGCAAGGAGTGTTCTGACTGTAAAACCATTTTCCCAAGGCGCCATTATCAAGAGTTGGCACTCCTTGAAAGTCTGCCTTTCGAACCCTCCAGCGCCTCTGTTGAGTGTCCCCTTGCGTCACTACAGCTCTCTGTGCTTTTACAAACTAGTTGTTGTGTCAGCATGAGTGTGACAACAATTAGACGTCCCCTGTTTTTGCCCCATGCCTTTTCTCCTTCACAGTCATTCAATGACAAGCGTAAAAAGAGCTTCATCTTTTCACGAAAATTCCCATTCTACAAGAACAAGGAGCAGAGTGAGCAGGAAACCAGTGATCCTGAACGTAAGTAGATTCTGAAGATAATGTCACCTGCAACACAAGAAAAAAAAATCTTCACAGGCAACACTCATGACAGGCTGGCCCACGCCACACACCTAGGCAAACAACATGGCAGGCAGGCAGGGCAGGTTTTACTACTGTGACCAGTGTTTGACTGCAGTCTGGATCCTTCCCTTCCCGGGGCTGTGCTGTGCAGAAAGCACTAGAAAGGGCCTTGACAAAACTGGGACTTCAAGTCCAACCAGCATTTCTCTGTGACCAGGAATGGGTCTGGTTTGATCATGCAACTCCCTAAGGCTTGAGAAAAATTTCCCTTCTGCTCAGACATATTGGATTACATTGCCACGTATGTATTTTGTCTTGGATGCCAACTTATTAGAAGTAATTCGATGACTTTTATTGAGTATTGGGGCATCGGTTCACTCTTACCCTCCAGGAAGTCATTAAATATATGCTGAGAAGGGAGCTTGTTGTGGTGGATAAAGAATTCGTTATGAAATTTGGAGTGGGGACATTCTTTGACAGTGAAAAAAAATTACATTCACTGATTCTTTCTCTTCCCCCCTCAATCTCTGGCTTCAATTTTTTGAGTAGATTTACAAATCAAAATTTTCCTTTTATAACTCAGCTCAGGGAGCTTGGGATGAAAGTTATTTCAAAAGGAAAGAGAGTGGGATCCAGATTGCTTGGGCAACACGGTCTGTCATGGTAGTATCCATTTCAACTCCACTGACTTCTACCTTCCTCTTCCGCGGCTGTTCTTCCTCTCTCATTGCTCTCTCTGGGGACTTCCATGCAGGACATCCCCGGATTAGGTGACGACGGTTATGGAACAAAGACTCTGAGTAAGTTTCCAGGAATGGTCACTGTTAACTTTTCTTTTCCTTTCCTTTTGAGTTTGGCTTTTGTTCCTTTTCCTGAGGGCCTTTCATTCCTAGCATGCACACGATACGAGTTTGATTTGTTACCTAGCTGTGAATGCTCCTACAGAATAAGTTTCGGTCATTTTGTTCTGCATGTCAGCATTTAAAAGCGAAGTGTGTCAGGCAGTCTAACTCCTGCTGTGGGCAACACCTCCCCCTTTCTGGCCGTGTGACAATGGCCAACATGGTCCTGATGCCCATCAGGGCATCATTTGCTCAGTCACCAACTTCCTCTCAGAGAGCAAAAGACCATGTCAAAGAAAGGGTGAGTGAAGTGTTCTAGAATGGCAAAGTAGAAACATTCTTGATGTCCTTTCTTCTGCCTTTTCAACATGGAAAGACATAATGACCTTGCCCGATTCTATAATTGAGCTATATTTTGCTGTTGATAAAGGAGCTGTTTTGTAGTCAAAAGCAACATGCATTCTCAAAAAGTAAATATTAAGCTATCTGAGCCTTAATTCTTTGTTATTAACTTTGACTGATTTTTTTTTTCTGACTTGCAGTGGTCCTGCTTGAACCATTTGTATGATAGTTTTAGATATCTGAGTTACCAGCTGCATTATGTTATCAGGGCTTCATCTTGTAGCACAGAATGAAAAATAAGATATATTAGACCTTTACATTTTCTACTTATTCGTGTCTTTGGTCTATGTCTCGTTGCACTTAGCAATTAAAAACAAGTATCTGTGTCTCAAAAGCCTATGCTATGATTTTTGCTTTCTTTAATCTTAATTCCACTCTAGAAGCACCAAGGAAATAAGAACAGAATCTTGTATCTTTTGCAAATGTATCAAATATTCAATTTTGTTTTGTATGTTTTGATGTAATAGCTACAGGAGATATTTTTAGTTGTCCATTTCATTTTATAAAGCAAAATACCATTGAGTTGGATTTCACATTCCAGGGCTGTTTATATAAGCCTGTGCGTGTGGTGATGCCTGCCTTTCAGGGTTCAAGTTTTGACTCTCTGCGGCCTGTTTTAGACATGTAGCTGGAGAAAACAAAATCTGGTCAAGTGCTGCTCTTCTTAAAGATGAAAACTTTATCTTTGAAAGATTATATAGAGTGTGGTATAAAATTTACCCACTGATTTTAGCATCACCTGGATGGCGTTAAATACCACCTGGGGGAATTTATACACTTTCAGTTTGGAGAGGTAAAGTGACTGTTTTAGCATATCACTAATAGTAAGCATCATTAAAAAGTATGTAATGCTCTGCTGAATCCAGAACATCCAGATGTTTGCTTACTCTCTAAAAACTGAACAGATTTAATTAATGAGAAAAAATCAGGTTCTCCCTGCATCACTGTTTCAAAGTAGGAAAGATAAGAGCATCCACAAAGGTGCCCTGAAGTGTGCGTATGCGTCTTCACTATCTGTTCAGTGATAGTAAGCTGATTCTCATGGGTTCACCCACCCCTTCCCCCATGAGTCTTGGACTTGTTCAATGTATGCCCAGATTAACAGCACAGCTCTGGTCATAAAGCCACCCAGAGAGGAATGGTTTGAAATCAGTATTTGCTTTGGTTTTCTTTAGTTTTATGTTATAGAATCAATCCCCCTCAGCAGGCCAAAAAGAAAACAAAAAGTATATGTCCAAGCATTTTAAAGCACTATTTTATTTTTTGCTCTCAGAGAATAATGCATCTTCTTTTCCTCTTTCTTAAGTATCGTCAAACAGGTGAAAGCCAAGCAGTCACATATATATCATTCTAGTGCAGTGACGTGTGAAGAAGTTGATACGTTATATACGATCAACTCATCAACTGAACCACACACACATCTCTGCTGTTAGCCAAGACCTTCAGGATAAATTAAACATAATTCATGCCAGGTCCTGCACTAAGTCATGAAACGTTTCTCAGGGATTCGTTGTTACCTCCCATATTTTCTACTCACTGAAGCAGGAAAGAGCTTCAAAAATTCCTTTCACAGCTGAGGATTTGCTTGCAAAGTATCTAAATGGAAAATCAAAGGGACTCCAGGGATCAGTTGGAGTCAAAATAACTAAGGGCTAAAATAGATACTGAGAATTCTACGGATGTGTCACTTAGAGATAGAACGTCACCTGGGTTGCCATTGTTTGCTGTTTGATAATTAAAGGTACTTTTCGTATTTGCTGAAAGGGAGAAACAGCAGTATTGTGCAAAGCGGCAATAAAGTTTTCATCTTTGTCTTCTGGATTCTCTCAGTGCGACTCTTCCGCAGCCTTTCACTGGCCCTTTGCTCCCGTTTGCAGTAGCTTTGCATGGGTGTGTCCTTTCCCTTCTGGCTGCTCTCTGACGCTTGACCCTTCTTTAATGTGCTGTGCTGTTCTTGCAGAACACGTCTCCTCTAATGCCAGCGATAGCGAAAGTAGCTGCCGTAAGTTTCTGCTTGGCCTTGTGCTTCCTTTCTTTGCGGTTGCCTCCATTGCCTGTGGTCGTCATTTCAGATTCTTTTCAACTGCTGCCTTTTTCTTTCTTTCTTTTTCTTTTTTTTTTGTCATCCTTCTCGAAAGCAAATGGCTTGAAATAAAATCAGCATTTGATGTGGAAAGTTACAAATGACACAGGGGCCATCAGTGGACCCTAGCATGATTGGTGGATGTAGGCGAAGATTTTTCTAATACCAATTTGAACCTCAGCTGGTTGCGACCTCATGATGGAAGATTTTGACATTCTGCTCCCCAAATCAATTTAACTTCCCTGTAGGAAGGGAGAGGGTCATGATTCTATTCTCGCCTTTTCCCTTCTGCTCCTGGAGCAGAAGCATTTCTAACTTACAGTGTTCCTTTTAAATCGGGTGTCTTTTGTATCACTTTCTCCTTGATTAATATTTTAAGACACATAGCATATCTATGCATCTAACCTTATTTGAGGGATGGTTGGGAAATTGATGAAAATGCTTCATCTAATGCTGAAAGAATTTTCAAAACTTTTTAGGTCACAAAACATAACTGAAAAGGTAGGTAACTGTTTAAAAATGTTCTCTGTCTTTCTTTGGTCACCTCAAGCCATTTGCTTAGTGTATGGAAATATTCACCAGACAATAAGCTCATCCTTCTAATCAGGCCTCATGGTTTCTTGCTGCCTACTTGTGTCTTTGGTGACTAATATAGGTACCTATTACCACTGGGTCCTTATATCTTTAATATTGATTTGCACTCCTTAATAAAATGCATTACCCAAAAAGCAATTGTTAAGGGTGTCAGAAAACTGCAGGTCCAATACATGACTTGCAGAAATAAATACCAATGCAGAAATTGGTATTGTCTTTTGCATGAATATTAGTTTAAAAGAAAAATTGTTTGGGGCATCCCTATCCTACCCCATTATAGTATGGTGCTTTATAAAAATCATGCCTTTGGAGGCAGCATGCCAATTAGTAAGTATAACGTAGAGTGGAGTAGGGTTTTGAAGAAGCAGACTGGTGGCCAGTCGAAAACACACATACACACACACACACACACACACACACACACACACACACACACACACACGAGACAGGGAAGGGTGTCAGGTAATGGTGAGGATCAGAAAAGGAAGGTGACGTGGACCAAAGACTGAATGACAAAGTTGTGATAAGATGCACAGGCAGAGTGTTAAAGGTGCATGATTGTCAAATTGATGAGTTCCATCAACTCTCGCAGATGGACAGATTCAGAGTCCTTATGCTCAGCATGGCTGTGCTCTTCCTACTCCTATCATTAACCCAATGGCAGCAGAGACAATTGCCTCTCTCATTTCCTATGTTATTTTCAATTCAGAACTAGCCAAGAAGGAGAGGCCAACGCTTACCTTTCTGACTCCATGAGCTACCCTTGATCTTTCACGAGGAGAAATGTGATGTACTTGTTTGGTTTCATGAAGACCAAGACACTAATTGCTTTAGTTTTCAGTGTTCAAGGGCTTTGCTCCCCTCCAGTAGACAGAGCCAGAGAAAAGGAAAATGCATGCTTTGTTCTTCAGTCCTCTTTATGGGGTGTACAACCTTCTTTGGAAATTATATTTTTGGAATAGTTTTTCCAGAAACACTAAGTCAGAATTTAGACCACAACTTTGAGCCTTTGGGGTGATGTACCATGATGACACCAATCATTCTTTTCCCTCCCAAATAGTAGCTGCACACAAATATTTATTGAGGGAATGAAGGAAGCAATTGTACATGCTATAAATTACCTATGAGAAGAGAGGGAGTTGGAGCTGGAGTCATGATGTTAGTAAGGTAGATGTGGAGTATAATCATTACATTTGGGGTCTCAGATTTTACAGGGCCACAGGCATGCGAGATTTCCTCCAAAACTAAGAGTTACATTCACTGATTCATTTGGCAGCTTCTCCATGCAAGGTCCCACTTCTCAGTACACTAAAACCCAGCATGAAAACTGATCAAGCCTGGATCTCACTATTCATGTACTGGGAGAGAGAGCTTGATACATAAACAGGAACTGTAGGGACCAGGATAAAAATCTTACTCCAGGACAGAAGGTGCATGCACGCTACTTCCAGACAGGAAGTGACCTGTGCACTAAGCTTTGGAAAGCAGAGTACATGTCAAAAGGGAGAAAGGAACTCTGTGAGGGGCAGTGTCACACCAAAAAGGCAGTATAGCCTAGACATGTGTTCCAGAAAGAGGCAACTTTGATATCAAAATAGGCTGTATTTTTTTTCTAGTGAATTTCTGGCTTTTGCTATAATTGAGACTAATTTTACGTCTCATGAATACCAGTACAAACAAATGTGAAAAGACTCTTTGCCACTGTGAAAACATTGCCTGTTCAATCTGGAGCCACGATGGCTTTATAAAAAGCAAGTGATACAAAATAGTCCAAGGTTGCTGTGCTGCACAATGCACAAAGCACCCTTCACACTGCATTCTGGAGACACACAGACTTACACATGCATGCCTGCACACACAGCCTTACACATGCATGCCTGCACACACAGCCTTACACATGCATGCCTACAAGCTTCCATTTCTACAACATAATTCAGACATCTGCTATATCAAATCAAGCATTACAGAATAATTTTTTTCAAGTCCAACTACATTGAGTAGCAGCTAAATAAAATTTTATTAATTAATAAGATATTGCCTAATTATGTGAAATACCACTTCAAAACCTTAACTATTGAGTAGTTCTGTATTTCTTTCTACCAGTAAAGTAGTAAAGTTAAGGCTTATGTTTTTGGCCCTTCTGTATATACCTTCCAATTGCCCTTGTATTGTGAGGCAATAAATACCAAACAGGTATTATGAGGACCAGGCAAACCTCCACAGCTGATGACCTACTGTCTCAAAGCTCTATTAAGCTGTTTACACATAACGGTTGTATGGGAGTTGACAGTCGATATTCATCAGTTAAGTTAGGATTTTCTAAATGAGGATCTCGAAGAAATGATCTGAGTGCAGTCTCTGAGATAAGGAGACCCAAGACTCTCCTAAAAGAGTTGGTAATCATGGCTCCCGTTCTTTCTATCCCACTCCACTTTTGACAAGTATTGCCCATGGCTGCATTTAGTTCTTTCATCTTTATTATCTCATTTGACTTCTGCAATGATGCTGCTATTAGGGAGGTCTTAGCTGGATAGCCGACTTTGCATAGGAGGCAGTCACAGCTGGAAGAGGTTGTGCACCTCATGAAGTGGTTGCTGTGAAGCTGCAATGAGACCTTGTCATTCTGGCCCTCCCACATTCTGTACTGCACCATGTGCTTTATAACCCCAGCTTCTTGCTGTTTCATCCAGTACTTTGCAACCATTCTATACCATTGATCAGATTATTAAGACTAAAACTAGCAGGGCGGTGGTTAATCCAGCACTCAGAAGGCAGAAGCAGGGGGATCTTTGTGAATTAAAAGCCAACCTGGTCTACAGAGTGAGTTCCAGGACAGCCAGAGCGACACAGTGAAACCTTGTCTTGAGAGAAAAAAAAAAAATCTCAGGAAAGTTGAAAAGACTAACACTGCTTATAGTGTTAACTATTTACTAAGCCTGATTGTAAGGACTTTCTGGTGGTTAAGTAATTTAATCTCCTGACTATCCTATGGAGACACTGAGCTAACAAATAGATTTCAATCAAGATATCAAGTGGAACCAATTGGAAATAGGTGCTTGAAGAATTTTTTGGAAGAGCTGGGGAAATAACTCAGTAGTAAAGAACACTGGCCATTCTTCCAGAAAACCTGAGTTTTACAACCGCCTATAACTCCAGTTCCAAGAGGATCCAACACCCTCTTCTGGACTCCACAAGCACCAAGCATGCAAGTGTGTACAGACATACGTGCAAGCAAAACATCCAGACTAATAAAAGAAGAAAAAAACTAAGAAGTGTACATAAAAAGCCAGGTGGTAGTGGTGCACGCCTTTAATCCCAGCACTCGGGAGGCAGAGACAGGCGGATCTCTGTGAGTTCGAGGCCAGCCTGGGCTACAGAGTGAGTTCCAGGAAAGGCGCAAAGCAACACAGAGAAGCCCTGTCTCGAAAAACCAAAAAAAAAAAAAGAAAGAAAGAAAGAAAGAAAGAAAGAAAGAAAGAAAGAAAGAAAGAAAGAAAGAAAGAAAGAAATGTACATAAACAACTTCTGTGGTCACACTGCAGCTCATCAATACTTCAGGCAGTGACTGCTGTGTAATTCCCATTGAGGGCACAGAACAGAGGAACACCACCATGTGCTCCATACCCACCATCTATGAAGCACACAGTCTATCCTGGACTAGTGCTAACAGGAAGCAGATTGATTCTCAATAGCCATCAGGTGTGAGCCCTAAGAACTAGATTTAGAACATTAAATACAACATCACCAGCACAAGCCCCGTGCCCCTCTTTCCCTCTTTTGTTTTTTCTCTTTCCTGAAGGCACACGGGGAGTGGGGGGGGTCTCGCTCTCACCACGTCTCACGGTGCCTGGCTCCTGATTCACACACCCAGTGTTGTGCAGAGTCTGTTAGAAGCAGCTCCGCCAAGTGTCTGGCAGCTGCAAACCCCACACCGCATGTGCTGCTTGCCCACTGTCAGCCACAAAGTTGCCAAAACAAGACCGAGAATAGTTTGTACCTTTTGCCAGCTGTTATTCTAAGTGCAAAACTCTTGTGAGGAAAGAAAAAGGAAAAAAAAATAACTACTAAGGGTGACTGTGGAGATGATGTATCAACAGAGAGCAGGAGGAAGTGGAAACGCTGATGTTTACAGATGGACCTCTTCTGTCTTCTCTGCCATCCTGCCCCCTTTTCTGACCCACGCCCTTTGTTCACTGCAAGTTCCACAGAGAAGTCTACGTCTCTCGCCCTCCTGAGACAGTATGATAGACTCAACAGCGGAAAAATAAATGTGGACTTAAATCTTGGCTCTGCCACTTACTAGCTGAGCAAAGGAGCCTCATCAAATTCTCTGAACCTCAGCTTTTCCATCTATCAAGTGGGTCACCAGAGTACCAACTACCCAAGACATTCTATGAAAACAAGAAGCCAGTGGATAGGAAAGGAAAGCCCTTTGGTTCCTGCAGAATGACATAAAGACATGGATTTTTCTCTCTTTGTTGCTATAGGATTTTTTCTTCCCACTCTGTTTCTTTTCTGCTACTCATTGGTGTGAGTTCTCTAGCATCTTACAACACCTGAGTCACAATGGTGGTTGGAGCTTTGCTTTTGTCTTCATGGAACAACCAGTGTAGAGGGCAGACTCTGACATCCATCACCTAACACCTGAAGCTTTGTCTCACTATCAGGATTCTCCTTTCATATTATTTTACCAAATCTTCCCAATAAAGTTGTAATCTATCATTGCTAACATTGGTGAACCACGCCACTGTCCCTCAAACTCTTTCTCCACAAACCTCCACCCACCTTCTGAATGGCAATGATCTCTTTGTATCTCCAGACCAGATGACTGGGGCTTGGCAGCAGTCATTTTTTTTTTAAATCTAAACTCTGGTTTTGTGTAGTTTAATTTATTCACAGGGAATCATTCTTTCCCTAAATACATCAAATTCTGAGTCATCTCACACCAGTCCCCTTCTCACACATAAGGATGCCTCCTAAACACTTCTAGGGCAGCTCTGGACAGATGCCATTTAGGAGAGATGCCAAGTCTCATTGTGCCTTCAGGATATAGTGTGGCCTCACAGTGCCAATACCAACAACAATTCCTCTTTGGGATAGATGAAAAACATGACTTAAGTTGGCGGCCATTTCTTACACTTGAAAATGTAAGAAAACCACATTTGCCCTATACCACTACTTTCTATGGAGCCTTATGTGAACAACGAGGTTCACTGTCTTTTGGCCTTGGCAAAGACCACCCTCCCCCATCGCATTCCTCCTCAAATGTCCCCTTTAGCAGACACTAGTCTGTTTTCAATATCCCTAACCTATTCTTACATCAAAGGTTGATCAACACTAAACCCAGTGCAAATATAGGCTCAGAACCTTTGGCATTTGCAGCTAAACTGAGACAACCCCATGACCACCTTGTTGATCTGGTGTATAAATTTCATTTAAAACTGATTGCCAAAGCTGAGCTTACTCTCTGCAGTAGTCTGTTGGCTCAAGGCCCACCCTGAAGCAGAGGACATGCAGCAAAGGCTGCTGGTGATGCTAGCATTTTTACAACATTGCTTCCCTTAGCTCTCATTCTGAAGGCCTGAGTTAGCAGCAATCTTAACCAACAGCCTCGGACACACCTCTGAACTTGGAGTGGGGACCAGAGCTTGAAGGCAGGGACCTCCACATGTTAATCACATGCTCTGCCCCACAGCTATAACCCCAGAATCCTCAGTTTGGGTCTAATTTAACTGACCAGCAACAGATTCCTGATGACTCAGTGTTAGACTGAACCTCTAGCACGCTGTAATAATATTCTCACCAAGTTTCTATGTCTTAAATGAAATAGGCACTTGCTTTTGAATCACATACTTAGGAAAATAAAATAGGAGATGAATTAAAAGTATCAGAAATTCTGATGAGGTAGCATGAAATTATTGGATGGACCCTTTTATAAAATGGCTTTATCTGTGATGCTTGGTGTGGAGGCATGGCACTCCATTTCGAAGGTCAGATAAAAAGCACTCTCCCAGATCATTGCCACTGCAGAGAGCTAGCAGCCTATTATTACTTCGAGTTATGACTGTGATAACCAGACACTAGAGCTTTATGAGGATGAGGAATTTTTGAATGGTTCAAGGAGAGAGCGCAAGGAAAATTAACCCTCAGCTGTGTGTTTCCTGTGTTTTGGAGCAGGAACTGTAGCTCTCAGGTACAGCCGGTGGTTTGTCAACTGTAATTTTCCTTTCTTCTCTTCCCAGGAGGACAAGAAGATCTCATTCTTTCCTATGAGCCCGTCACAAGGCAGGAAAGTAAGTCTCCTGGCACACTCAAGTTCCTGATAGCCAGGCTATGACAGATGACTCCAAACTCAGTTTAATACTCAGCTGTGCCAGACCCAGGCTCAGTAATGGCTCCCGGGAGGACAGAACAGTCCTTGAGAGGCATGGCCTCAATAAGAAGGCACATGTCCAAATCACTAATGGGCCTGAGCCAGAGGTCTGACGGAGAACACTCCAGGGAAGTTGATGCTAGCCCAATTTTGAAAAGGACTTCCTAGCAGACCTCAGGGGCAGGCCACCTGCACACTGCCCTAGGAGTCTGAGTTTCTGCAGACATTAATACAGAGGCAATGGTGGCTGGCAGAGATGTTGCAGAGAAAACTGAAGCATCAGATGGGGAGTTGCACCAAATAGACTACAATATGTTCTAAAACACTTAGGAACCAGGAAGCCTCCATCAGAGTCCAGATAGTATAGATAGAGGGGGAAAAGTGCAGATGCATGAGGTATCACTGCTATTAACAATGACTTCAAACAATGGCCGAAAAGCTGGTTGGGATTTTTTTTCTCCAAGGCTCCCTAAATCCAGGTGTTTTGACGTGGGGAGGTAAAGCTTGAGAAGAAGTAAGGCTCTGCCTCTGTTTCATTGGTAGCTGCTACAACTGCTCTATTCCCTGTTAGTAAATTCCAGAAAACAATAAAGTCAACATCCTGAGGGTTAAACAACTATTTCTGTATACAGGGTTTTATGGGTAATTATCCCAAGTGAAGGCCTTAGCACTTCTTAGTTGTTGGCAGTTTGCCCAGAAGAATCACCTCTGCAGAGGTGCAGGACTGCATCCGCACTGCAGGGTTTGAAGTCTCCCTCAATGGCATCTTCCTTTCCTTCTGCAGTAAACTACACCCGGCCAGTGATTATCCTGGGCCCTATGAAGGATCGAATCAATGATGACTTGATATCTGAATTTCCTGATAAATTTGGCTCCTGTGTGCCTCGTAAGTATCACTTTTCTTTTCTCTGGGCCAACACTTGTGTCCTTGGTGGATAATCAAGTGTAATCCCGCCCCTCCAAGAAGAATGTCTGGTGATGACATATGTCCTCAGTTGCCTATTATCTGAGCACCCGATTTAGTGTATCTGCCTGACACTTTTGATCTGGGCTGCCAAATATTGTTTTCTATTGATGAAAACTGACCTTCATCTCCAGAAGATAGCAAGACCTTCTGGAACCTCCCCAACCACTTGAGACAACGTGCTATTTATAAGCCCAGTGGGTCCTTCTAGATTGATTGGAATACCACTGTAGCATCTGTATCCATAGACCAGGGACAATCAGAAGCAAAACCCCACATTGAAATCGTCCTGCATGACTCAGCCCAGGGTGTCAGTCCTCAAGCCAAGCAGTCTTTCCTTGTGCTTTGATAGTCCTGGGCTACCAGAAGATTGTGTGTGTGTGTGTGTGTGTGTGTGTGTGTGTGTGTGTGTGTGTGTGTGTGTGTGTGTTCTATCCTGTAGGCCACTATAGATTTCAAGCCTTGAGATTATAGACAATTAGATTTCCAAGTCCCTCTGAACACAGCCTGTAATATTTAGTCTGTCTTACCTTTCTCAAAACTACCACTACCACACCTCTCCACTTCCCCTATGCACAAAGACTGCCTGTACATGGAGACAAGGCCTTATTAGAGACTCTTAAATCCGATCCTAAAAAATAGCTCTTACCTGTGGGATTTTTGTTGTTGTTGTTTTAGATTTATAATTTCAAAGATCTCAAACATTTCAGTACTGTTAATTCACCTAGGGTCATAAAGAAAAGAAGAAATTCCATGTATGCAGCACACAGGTAAAAAGAGGGCTGGGAAGGTTGCTGGACCTCAGGAAGAGGTTCCCGCAGGGACTCTGGGAAGAGGTAGAACAGATCCTAAGAACGTCTTCAGGTGTGAAGGGGCAAAGGAAAGCCTGGCCTGTTCACAGCATCTGCTGTTTGAGAGAAGGAAATCAGAACCTTAAACGTTATTGTAACTGGCCCTTCTACCTTGCACACACTCCCCTTTTTCTTTCCTGTTTTTCTTATTTTCATTACTAGCCCTGTTCTATGGGAATGAGTACATACTGATTGTACAGGATTTGGAGAAAAAAATTTAAAAAGTTAACCAAGGAACCCCCACATAACAGCCAGAAACAAAATCATTCTTCCTTCCAATACATTTTTCATGTACTTAATTTTAAATCTAAGTTGTTATGTAACAATTTAAAATAACTATATTCACCAAAAAATTTGTAGGCATTTTTGATTTCCCCTCCTTTATGATACTATGGATTTGTGTTATAAATTACTATAATCAATATATTTGGGGATAAATTTATCTTAACTTTTGATCAATTTTAAGATAATATTTAGAAAAAAACTGACTCCGAGATTAGATGTATGTTAACTTTCTAAGTTGTATAGCTACATTGTTTTCCTTTTGTTACCTTAACAAAACATTAACATAAAATTACTAGATTTGCTGACTTTTGGTCCCACTGAACTAGGATTCTCTTGCTGTGTATAATTTTAAGTACCTAAACATATTCATACTTATATGCCCATTTTTCCTCCTAATTATTATGGCACATTTTCTCACATCTTTGATTTATGTCTTCATAACCTACCTTGTTCTGTTGTTGTAGTGCTATGTATTTTGAGGCAGTTGTTATTTGGGGACAGGATCTCACTATGTTAACCCTACTGGCCTGGAACTCATGACCTTTCTGCTGCTGAATCCTGGGTGCTAGAATTACATGTGTGCAGACTCACACTCAGGAGTGAGGCCATATTGTTGAGAGTCTGGATTTTATTATCTAATTTTATAGAATATTTTGTTTTTATAAAGCAATAACGTACTGACAGATCAGCTTGTTGTATTTGTAACTTGATTTTAAATTTCTGAAGGCTGGCCTCAAGCCGGCCCAGAGGAGCCTACTAGGTATGGCTAGATGTGTGGCTTTTTCTACCACCCCCAAATGCCCAATTTTATATGAACTGCAGTATCTTCTAACACTAAGCGGCCTCTGGACTCTCCATTTAGAACCAGTATCAAGGCAGATAGGAAGGATAAATACAAATTTTCCTTCACCTGTTTCTCATTCATTATAATTACAGCTGTGCCTTGTCTATTGTCTGATACCTGAAACAAGCCATTGCTTGTATCTTGTCCTATTCTATCATTGCTTATATGGGATGGTAAGACAGGCACTCATTGCTATGTCATAGCCCATCATATTACATATGACACATATCCATGTATCTGTGTTGAAGAATAGTGGAAAAATATCAGATGGAAAAGAAGTTTATAATTAAAAAATGCATCTTACTTTTTCACTGTTTCCTCTTTTATAAAGATACTACGAGGCCAAAGCGTGACTATGAAGTCGACGGCAGAGACTATCACTTTGTCATTTCTAGAGAACAAATGGAGAAAGATATCCAAGAGCACAAATTTATAGAAGCTGGCCAGTACAACGACAATTTATATGGAACCAGTGTGCAGTCTGTGAGATTTGTAGCAGAAAGGGTACGTTTGCCAATCCTCTTACAACTCCTTAAAGAAGGTTCTGGTAGTAAACTTTTTTGGTCATTGCTCTTTCCTGATCGCAAATTAATATCTATGGAGAGAATTGCCTTAAAGCAATATCATTGTATTCTGACTGACTTGTAGACGAAGGGAAGAGAAGAGACCCATTAACCCAGAGAGTTCACAGCCTGTGGCTTATGGGGACTTGGTTTATTCTTGGCTCACTGTCTGACCCAGATTAACAAGACTGAATTTTTTTTTTTTTTTTTTTTTTTTTTTTTTTTTTTTTTTTTTTTTTGGTTTTTCGAGACAGGGTTTCTCTGTGTAGCTTTGCGCCTTTCCTGGATCTCGCGCTGTAGACCAGGCTGGCCTCAAACTCACAGAGATCCGCCTGCCTCTGCCTCCCGAGTGCTGGGATTAAAGGCGTGCGCCACCACCGCCCGGCAAGACTGAATTTTTTTAAGGGAGCTTTGATACCCTTAGTTGCCTGGATAAGTTGGGTTTTTCTCTCCCTGAAAACTTACCATTCTCCTTGTGGAAGGGAGATTCATGGGAGGACAGTTCAGCCTGTTGCTGCCAGAAACTTTGACTTAGAAGAGGCATTGATGCTGAAATTCCCTTCTTGACAGTATCAGAAGCATAGGAAAGAAGTAAATACTGAAGGGAGAATAGATAGGAAACCACTTTACTGTGGCTTTCAGATCTGCCCTGTAGATGGATCCTATCTCTTATAAAGGTGTGGATAATCCAAAGGAAGAAAACAGTTATCTGTTTGACTCAGTGTGATTCCCTCCTTTTGATGTTAATCCCCCTTTTGATATACCGATAATTTAAACAATTCACCTCTTCCACAGAGATTCAAAGTAATAACAGGTATATAGTTTCATTTTAAGGTGAGTGGGGTAAGAGAAAACTGGAAATCAGAAAGAAAGTGGAAAACCATGCATTCACAGACCTGGGACAATAGCGTGAAACAAAAACAAAACATCTTGGCAACAGCATCTCCAAAGCCAGGGTGAGGGTGGGGGTGTCCTTGTTAAAGTTAAAAGGAGCTTCTCAGCAAACCCTTGTACTGTAGCTGCTCGCAGCTCTACTACAGGAAACTTCCATTTACACAAATAGCCTGAAAGCCGTACAATAGCCTTGTTTTGGAAAAGGATTTCACATCTTCCCCCAGAAGACATCCAACATGCCAGACCCAGGAGCCACTTAGAGAACAGAGCTACTGTCTGGATTGGACTCTCCTAGGGGTCAGAAAATCTTGCATTCTCCTTTCTTGAAACCCCACATTCATTCTACTCTGCTGAATTAGGGGTGGCTAGCCTGTGAAGTCAGCTTAACCCAGCAGAGTGGCTGTGACCTAAGCCTCCTGAATAACCTGCACTGTAAGGAACAGGTGTTGAGACAGACAGGAAAGAGAATTATGCCATTATTAGGAGATGTGCTGTATTGTTTGTGGCTTCATGATAGTGCCAAGATTGAAGGCAGGCACCATGCAGTGCTTGAGAAATTCTGACATGCTGTCACATTGACCATAGGCAAACAAGGATAGGGGCACCAAGAAGAAACTTTGCCTGGATATATTCGTGTCCCACTCATCCTCACTCCAGGGCAGGCACTAGACCTGAAACAGTAAGATGACAACAAAAGTCTCAGCTGTCACATCACCAAAGGACAACTCTTTCCTCAAGATGAACACTGGCTAACTTTGGCTAAGGTCCTGCTCATGGGCAGACACCATCACTTAAGCAGAAGCAAAGAGCACCATGATTCCTGCTACTGCCCTCAACAGTCAACTGCGACCACCACTCCACCTTGTTAGTACTGGCAGTGAACAGCACAGAGGGTGTTCTGTAGTTCTGCCATCCCCTCTCCCCATGCAAGACCTGGGGTCATACCACTGATTAGAGGAAAAATGCTTTAGAACCTCACCATCACAGGGGTCAGTGGTGCCCTGGATTGTTGATAGTAACAGCATCAACAGTGCCAGAGGAAACACCTATTGCTTACCAGGCAATAATACATAAAATAATTTTCAAAAATTTCAAAAAACAAATTTGATAGCCTCAACAGCCAGTTAGATCAAATGGATAAAGGTTATATGAACAGCAAGACAGTTTTTAAAAATAGTCCAAACAAAAGAAATAAAATCAAACAAGAAGAATGGCAAGAGCATCGAAGATCTACAGAGCCATTAAATGAACAAATATCTAAATTTCAAAAGCACAGAAAATGGGGAGAAAAAATTTCAGGGCACAGAATAAAACTATGTAGACATAAAAGAATGGGTAGCTTATAGTGCCCTGAAATAAGTATAACCAAAATTCAATCTTTACCACAGAATATTGTACACAAGATACCAAAAGTAAAGCTAGGCGTTGTTGGCTCACACTTGAATCTTAGTACTCAGGAGGCAGAGACAGGTGAATCTCTGTGAGTTCAAGTCTAGCCTGGTCTACAGGGCTAATTCTAGGACAGCCAAGGCTACACAAAGAAACCCTGCCTCAAAAAAACCAAAAAAAAAATCTACAGTGTAAGAGGGAACACAGTGAGACAGATAGCCCAAGTCTAAAAGTTAAAAAAAAAAAAAAAAAAAAAAAACACTGCCTAGCAAGATTAGCCTTTAAAAATGAAGGAGAAATGGATACCCAGCAAGACCAGGAAACACTGGTATTCATGACCATTAGACTAGCCTCACAGAAGCTAAAAAAGAGAAAAACAAAACCTAAGAAAAGACACCATCAGGTGTGGTGATACATGTCTTAACCTCAGCATTCAAGAAATACTGAAAGTTCCAGGACAGCCTGGGCTATAAAGTAAGACAGTAAGTACATGGGGAGGGGCCAGCTAAGGAGAGACAAAGAACATCTCAATAAAGGTACCAAAAATACTGAAAAAGATGCTTTCTTCAATACAGGATACTGATTAAGCTGGGGACCTTTATGCAGAATTCTAAAACTTAATCTCATCTCATCCTGTACAGATATCCCCTCAGAGTGGGTTATAGACCTAAATGTAAGACCAGAAATTCTTTAACTGCTGGGGGAAAATGGCAGAGGAACTTCAAGGCATTGGATAGAGCCTTAAAAGCCCAGGACCTTAAAAATTGGTAGATGAGAGTCCATCAAACTAAAAGTTTGCACACAGCAATGGAAACAATCAACTAAGGAGACTACCCATAGGATAAGAAAGAATATTTGCCAGCTAGTCATCTGACAGAGAGATGATATCCAATGTGTGTATAAGGGACTCTAATCGCTTAACAAATTATGACTAATTGTTTTAACTAGGCAAATGGTGTGAACTGACATGTCTCAAAAGAAGATATCAGATGACCGGAATATATGTTAAAAATGGTGGCTACATCAGAAAAACCAATTAAAGTCATTTTAATTGTATCCCAATAAGAATGGCTATTATGAAAAAATAAATAAATGCTGGGAGGATAGAAAGACAAAGAAAATCAGATATTCTGTAGGGGAAATATGAACTTATCACAGCCATCACAGAGAGCAGTATGGGGTTCTTCAAAACCAAAGCCAGGACCTAGAGAGATGGCTTGATGGTTAGGAACACTTCCAGCTCTTGCAAAGAACCTGAGTCCAGTTCCCAGCACTATGTCAAGTAGTTTACATCCACCTGTAACTCAGCTCCAGTGGATCCCACACTTCTGACCTCTGCTAGCACCGACACTGATGTGTACATACCCCTACACAGACACGCATGCATACACATAATTAAAAATAACAAATTGCTGGATGGTGCTGGCAGCACACGCTTTTAATCTCAGCACTCGGGAGGCAGAGCCAGGAGGATCTCTGTGAGTTTGAGGCCAGCCTGGTCTACAGAGCAAGATCCAGGACAGGCACCAAAGCTACATAGAGAAACCCTGTCTCAAAAAAACCAATAATGATAATAAATCTTGAAACCTAAAACTAGATCTACCTGAATTATTTGTCCTACTGCTGGCTACAGATCCAAAGAAGTAAAATCAGCTATCAAAGGGATATTCCCAGGTCTATGGTGCTTGTGGCAATGTCAGTAAAGGCTAAGGTGTCTATAGCAAATGAATAAAGAAAACCTAATGATGATTGATGATAGATGATGATGATGATGATGATGATGATGATAGATAGATAGATAGATAGATAGATAGACAGATAGATAGATAATCACCACATTGAAGTATTTTTCAGCCCTAAAGAATGGAAGCATATTATCTGCAGCAAAATGCATGGAATGAGGAATATTACACAAATGAGATAGGCCAGTCACACAAAGACAAGTACTACATACTCATTCTCTCTCATGTTAAATAGTATTGACCTGAAAGAAGAGGAATTACTAAGGGCAGAGAAAAAGGTGTGTGATTAGGAGAGGGTAGAAAGAGTATACTTGATCAGTGCACCTTAAGCATGTATGGAAATACCATGCTGCACCCTATTAAGAGATATAATTGATGTCTTTACCAACATATCAACATTAGGAAGTTTAATGTCTGATGACATACTAGAAGATATCTGGTTTCCCCTTCCCAACAGTTAGAGTCTATCAAGCTTTATGGACCGTTTCTTGTCAGTAATTTGGAAAGGTGTGTCTGTTTCCTCTTTGAACATGTAATGTGGCCTGTGTTAACTGAAAAAATACTGGCTAGTACATGATGAAACAGCACTCACACCTTCCATGTACCCAATGCACTTCCCAGAGAGGAAACTTGGAATTTATCACTTAAGTGATAAGGCATGAAGCATCTTGGTGTATTTCTCATCAGCGTTCGAGTGTTCACTGGACTCTTCATTTTGTACAGACAACATGAATTTTCCCTGTAACATTGATTTAGGACTGCTTCTATCTACATACAAATGCCTTTTTTCTTGTGTAAAGATCCCACAGCCTCAGAGTAATAAGGCCATTTCTCTCCAGGAGGTAGAATGTGATGTGGCAAATGATTCTACTTTTCCAGAAATATGTTATGAAGTAGCTCCTGGCACTGAGCGTCCACAGCTCTGGAAGCCAAGTTAAATGAGGTGTGCTGTAAAGGAGTAGGCTTTTTATCTGCTAACAAACAAGTTTACAAACCCACTGCAGAGTCAGCATTTAACCATATGTAACTGAAGGTAATGCTTCTGTGTCTGCCTTCCAACACATATGTATCACGACAGAGTACATAAAAGAACTGAGCAAATGTATAGAACTGCTCGGAGCTCCTGTCATCACCATTCTTACAGGTTTAACACTGATTCAGGGTAAAATGATGAAAGCTCTGTTCCAACCAGTAGTTCTGCCCAAGCTCAAGAGCTGGGTTTCGGTCTTCCTACTGGCAAATTTTGCGTCATTGGTCAATATTGTTTAGTCTTCTCTCCTGTAAAATGCAGTCAGTAATACCTACCTCAAAGACTTAGAATGACTCTTTGAAGCGAGTTTGTTTTGATTTTCTAGTCTTTAGAAACCCAGCATTTCATACTTTTCTCTAAAAACAAGCTTTATTTTATTTCACTGGACACTGGCCATTTTGCTTGATATTTTTAACCCGGTATTTTCTTATCCTTCTACCAGGGCAAACACTGTATACTTGATGTATCGGGAAATGCTATTAAGCGGTTACAAGTCGCCCAGCTCTATCCCATCGCCATCTTCATAAAGCCCAAGTCTCTGGAACCTCTGATGTAAGTGGAGGACCAAAGTCCTCATGCAGCTCCCTGCTCCAAATACACAGCAATCAGCAGCAGTTTGTCACAGAGGCTTACAGGCAGGAAATGCCAGTGTTGATCGTTAAGCATTTCCCCTTTTTAATATATGTATATTAAACTTTTTGAGTCGGTAATTCTTTATCAGCTTACAAGTTGCTTTAACCTTTACATTTTCTATTTGTTGATATCTTCATTTGGTCTAAGAGTTTTTTGGGTGGAGGGGGCAGTTATTTGAGTTTCTGCTTTGGTTTTTGTAAATGACAGGTGACTATCATTTTTATATTGTCTCTTAACTTTGAGAACAGTTTCACAGGTTAATCTTCAAATGTGGGCTTTTTGTTTTGTTTTGATAGAGGGCACAAAGAACACTTCCTAATCTTTTCATTGACATTTTACATCGAACTTAGTAGAAATCTGACTCTGTTAAAACATACAGACCATGGTTCTTTACAGCCTTCTCTGGTGCATGACTATGACTATAACTATCCTTTAATATACCCATCTCTACATCTGTGCAAATATATCGGCATGGGAAATGCATGGTTCTGATTTTTTTTTCCAAAGCATTTCCAAAGGTCTTGTAAAATACCTTTCTTCAAAGAACAGTGAACAAACTAGGCAGATATTCATGATCCGACAGAACACCCCTCTAGGCCACCCTACATAGAACACCCCTCTAGGCAACCCTACAAAGAACACCCCTCTGGGCAACCTAACATAACTGTGAAACTACTATAGGGAATGGTAGCAGAGAAGAGAGGCCACAGCAGAGATGGGAAAAAGAGCCAGCTCTTTGCGCTGCCAATGATCCTTCATATAACCCCAGCACAAATTGCCTAAGCTCCCTAAGATTAGATGCTCACCTATAAAGTAGACATTAACATGAACCTTGTAGAGAGAGGGCTGAATATGAGAGGCTCATAGAGTCCTTGTCACAGTAAGTACTCAGGAAATAGTAGTATTATTGCAAAAGATATGAGGTTACTTTTTATGGAGCATTAATTCAACCTTATCATTATCAAACACGTAAGTAGATTCCAGGAGAATGCCAGATGACGTCAGTGCATCTGTTACAAGAACCTAGCTCAAATGCTGCCTCCAGGCAGGCCTCAGGAGAATCTTGTTGGACTGAACCATACAGAACACACTGGAAAATAATGCTTATGGAAAGATTATAAAAATAGAAGGTATTTATTCCCAAAGATGAAAGCTATTGTTTTCTGAGGGTAGCAGCTACCTGTCTGGTCTCCTCTGAGGATGAAGCTGCAAATTGAGCCACAGCAGTTGGAATGGCAGCTGAGAGAATTAACACAACCTAAAATGCATAGTTGATCTCTGGGGAAATCACCAGAGTTTTATCCTAAAAGAAGAGTATATCCCCAGAAGTAAAGGTAAACAAAGGTTTTTGCCAAGGTAAGTAAATAAAATTAGGAGGCCAACGGGAAAACATTAACCACAATTACCACATAGAAAACTGTGTATTGATGATAAAAGAGTGCTCCTGTTATTACTCTGACAGTACATGTTAAACTTCTCCTGTGTTGGGTATTACATAAACTTAGCTAATGGCCATAAATGTCATTATGTAAAAGTGATTTATAAACTGTAGACAGCCACACAAAGCTATGCAATATTAACATTAAGAGGAGAAAAGTAGTGCTCGCCTCCTGGGAACAGCATCATAAAAGCTCATTTCAGAAATAGAAATTAGTTCACATCATAAACACACAGCAGGACTGATGACCACCCAGGGAAGTAAAGCCTAAGGGGCCAAGAGCTGTGGCACATTTAGTCCAGTGTGGCTCTGGGAGACAGCCCATCTGGTACTCAGTGGAAGATCTACTCCTTCCATAACTACCAGATGACTTATTTAGTTCTGCCTTAGGGCCCTGTCACAGGCACTTATCACCAAGGAAAATTAAGCATGCCAAAGGCTAGATGCCACAATGAGGACAGTGTCTTTGGCATAATTTGCTGCGCCCATATTCATGGCTCTCCACTGCAGTGATAATGGCACTCAGCCCTGCGCAATCTCATTACTAAAGAAAGGCTGGCTGTTTAAGGTTCACTCTCTCCTGGAGCTTTTACCTCAGGAGCAATGCTGTCAGGAATTGCCCATTCCCCGGGAAGGGGCAAAGCTCGGTCAGCTGGAACACAAGCATGGCAGCTGTCACAATGAGACAGGGACTCACCATCAAACACATTACTTCTCACTCGCATCATTCACAGAGCTTATTAGCAAGCACACAGCTGCCTCTTCAGAGGAACATAAATTCAAGGGCATGTATGAAAGAGATGTTTTCCTAATGTGCTGCCTCCTGACTTCTGTACCTGCCCCATAGCAAAGAGAAACTTGCCTGTGCCCATGTAGCCTACCACCACCAATGGTCTTTTATGGCTTTAGACTCATGATGCATTGTGTTTATCTCTACTTGAATCTATGCATAAATATGTTTATTTGCCGCACTTATCATTTATTCCTTCGCTCACTCGTTCAACAAGTGTTGAGCTATCCTAATGAATAAGCTACAGGTTCCTCCCTCAAAGAACTTGAAGCTTAGGCATGAACTCTGAGGAATAGGTTGAGACTATTTATAGCAACAAAGGTTCAGGAAATACCTACTTTGGACTTCAGCTCTCATTGGCATCCAAATCCATGTCCAACCTCTGTCTTCACATATCCATGTTTCAGAAGATACCAAGCTTTGGTATAACATGACATCTGCCAGACTGTGGTTGTAAGAAGTGGCTCAAGTTCTCACTCTAGAACTCCTGGTTACTTTACAGACAACCTTAGGGGTGTCCCCTCACTACTTCAAGATCCTTGCAATAGAAAAGGGATTGACTAAGCCCAAGCATTCCAAACCTGGATCTCTGGCCCCTAAGTGGCATGCAAGGCCCAGATGCTTTCAGAAATGTACCTAAGCAGCCAATCAAAATGTCTATTCATTTGGTTGAAGCTTTACTTTCAATGCCGTGAGACCCTGAGAAGATAACACTAATACTGGTTAGGAATTAATAAATTCATTGTAGAGAGAATTAGAAGAATATCCTTTCTCCTCCTACCTTCTTTGTCCTTAAGACTAGGTAGCACTTAAGTTATCGTGTGTTCAAACAACATATCTACATAGTTAATGATATATCAAAGACATAGAAAAAGTCTTAATAATTCCTTTATAGTCATCTTCCTATCTGAAAAAAAATCAAGCAGGCATCAGAGTTTCTTTTTTGGTGTTGCCTTTTAAATATATTATAATTTATAAATAGTAATTGTATGTGTTGATGGGATATGGTATAATAGTCTGATTCATAAATACAAAATGTAATGGTCAAGTCAGACTCCTCAAGCATTTATCACTTGAGTCTATACTTGAGATCATTCCAAATCCCTATTAGCTGCTTTGAAATAGTCAATTAATCTCTGTCAATAAACATCAGAGACTATTCCTTCTATCTGACTGTACCCTACACCTACTATGTTAGAGATCCTTCTATACCAAGCTCCTCCATCCATACCAAAGCTCCTCCATCCTAGCTCACCATTTGCCTAGATTGCTTGATTACAGTCTTATTTGAAAATATTGTGGCCCCAGCACTTCTCGGTTATTCTGTGTCTACTGAAGTGTCCCCTTCAGCAGACACTTCTGCTGTCATCTGGTCATAAGAATGGGAAGTTTAGAGTTCTAGTCACTACAGGCATGCCTCAACATTGGTAGAAGTTGAGTAGTTAAAGCTGTCGAATATCTCAAGGGTCTGCTTTACTTAGCATAACACTCCAGAAGCTCTGTGTGGTTTTGCTCACCAGATTTGCATGGAGGGTAAAGAGCAGACCTCAAGAGGGATGAAGACAAGAAACTAAACCTTTTGTAAGGTTAGGACCTGAGAACAAACAAATCTAGTTCTCTCGGGTGTAGCGCTGCCTAACAAACCCAGGTGCAAAAAGAAACTATTCTCTTTCCTCCCTCTGACCACTTCTGGAAAACTGTCTTTAATTCTGGGTCTTACATATAATTTAGAGATATGGAAATTTACTCAAAGTCAGACAAAGGAAGTTTAAGTTCAGAAATACAACAAAGACGTAGTTGAAGGACAGTCTGTTCTGATGAAGCAGAACCTCCAGCGACACACAAGCACTTCATGTAAATACTCTAAGGCCTGCCTGAGAGGAAGTTTAGTCTCACTTTAGGGACTACGGGGACCAAACAGACCAAACCCGGGACTACAGATCACAAGGAGGCAGCTTCAATCCAATATTGCATGTGATGCCTGTCCTCCAAGAGAGTGAACGCCCTGGCAAGGAGCCCTCATCAGCTAAAAGGATTCCACCAATAATGAGTCCTCAATGAAGCCTCAACAACTGCTAAGATTAAACTATGCCTCCTGCAGGGTTTTTTTTTTTTTGCTGTGCATTTTAAAATTTGGGGGATTTGGTATATTCTCTTTGTGTCCTAACATCAAACCCTCATTCTCTCAGGGAGATGAATAAGCGTCTAACAGAGGAGCAAGCCAAGAAAACCTACGACCGGGCAATTAAGCTAGAACAAGAATTTGGAGAATATTTTACAGGTAAGTTTCCTTGGCCCTGGTACTACAAGACAAGAAGATAAATTGCCTGCTGTTGTACTTAGAATGGGTTCCATGCTGCTAAATCTAGGCCCCCAAAACCTTCCAGTTGAGATTGCCTAGTAATTTTTTTAATGGTGTCTGTCTTGCCCATTTGGTTTTGGGCTCTGGATTCTCTCTTCTCTGAGTTAGCTCTTAGCTCACTCCCAATTCTCCACTGGCCCTAAACCACGAATGGCAGATGTCCCTGGGCTATCTCCTGCTATTAAGGAGATCCTAGGCATGATACCTCACAAAACTATCTCCCTGATAGATTCAGAAAACTTGAAAGGCTCAACATGGGCAGCAGTCTCTGCCTTGAAGACCTCGAGGCCTATCTCCTCAGTCAGCAACATGAGAAGAACACACTTGGAGATGTTTCCATTAATGCCATTTCAAGTCCACTAATAGACTTTCATTTTTTTTAAATATGTCTTTGGCAACATGCTGTTTTGGGGACAGAATATAAATTTCTTGTGGATGTCCTGAATTCTCTCTGCTTCCCTGTACTCATGAAACACTGATTAAACCCAGAGAGAAACCAGCTTTGGTGGAATTTATCTTGCAGCTGATTCTCGATGGTTTATAAACAAGATACTGAGTCCGAGATGTAGCTCAGTAGTAGAGTGTTTAACTGACTTGTACAAGGCTCCGAGTTTGACCACCTCCAAATGTAATGCCCTCCAAAATAACATGAAATCTAACAGCTTCCCTTATGAATAACTGGCATGGAATAAAATGGGTTTTGTTGCGGTTGTTTTGAATCATGTTCAGAATACCAAAGGTGCCAATAGCAAGGCAGTATGCAACTATTTTTCCTAACGTTAATGTTAAGATTTCTCTCAGTAATGTGAGTGATACATCAGTGTAAAAGAGCATCCAGGTGGGAAAAATCAAAGGGCAGCAGAAATGGCTCAGCAGTGAAGAACACTTACTGCTCTTCCAGAGGACCCGAGTTCAGTTCCCAGGTGGGAAAATTAAGTCAAAATAACAACTATTTGACTCATAGTTTGCACTTGTGGGTAGATTACCACTCATTGTTTCTGAATCACAAAGATGTAAACCTTATTTCATAATAGCTTGTCTTGAAGCCTTGGTGGCAGATGGATAGTGCTGATGTTTTGGAGACCTAACTCCAACATAGTATTTATTCAAAAGAAACAACAAAATGTGCTTAGATCTATGCTGAGAACCAAGCATTTTAGTAATTTATAGTTTAGCGATTTACATTTCCTCTTATTTATGTTCCTTATCAGGTATTCACAGTATAAATAGTTTTGTGAGGTAAAAAATCTTAATTTACCAAGTAACAGTGTTTCTCAGTAGAAGTTTTGGAATTGAAAAGGTTAACTTAACTTTTCTTCAAAACTCTTATTATCTCCATGTCTACAAGACCTGAATTTCTGCCTGAACTCGAGTGAAGGATAGACACTCTATGGCCCAACATGGCGCTGTCAGTCTGAAACTGCTGTGGGTTCTGCTCCAGCGCCTGGCTCAGAGTAGGCATCCATGAAACGAACAAGTGATTGATTGCTAGAACTGGGAACACAGAAAGTACTAAGCTGGGGACACATTGATTCCTGACCTAGGGCATGGAGAGAATGCTCCTTTTAAGCATCACTGACATGACTGCACTTGTGTGAGCATTCTTTCTTACTTTTCTTACTCACTGGAAGGGGACATTAAGCTTCCTGATGAGTTATCTGTCACTGATTTGAGCTTCTTTGGGGTGAGAGATCATTGTCCTTCCCCCAAGGGAATGCTTCCTAATTCTGGGTGTTTTTGTCTTTGTAACAGCTATTGTTCAAGGAGACACCTTAGAAGATATATATAACCAATGCAAGCTTGTTATTGAACAGCAGTCTGGGCCTTTCATCTGGATTCCCTCAAAGGAAAAGTTATAAATTAGCTACTGCACCTCTGACAACGACAGAAGAGCATTTAGAAGAACAAAATATATATAATATAATACTTGGAGGCTTTTATGTTTCTGTTGCATTTATGTTTTTGCAGTCAATGTGAATCCTTATGAATGTACAACACAAACTGTGTGAAGCCATGAAGGAGACAGAGGGGCCAAAGGGTGGGACGGAAAAGACATTGCAGTATGCAGGAAGGCTTTGGTTTGCTCAAAGTACCAGGTGTAGGGATGAACCTCTGAAGAGCTCTCTGCCCTAGAGATGGCCAGCCTTCTCACCCCAGCAGATGTCCAGAGCTGATTTAGCTGCTGAGCTCTCTGTGTTTTTTGCTTTAAGAAAAGTTGCCAGCACTCAAACCTCACCAACCTTCCCCTTCCCCACCTCTGTAATTGGTACACTTGGAATTTTATAACTATGCACATCCTTTGATTTCTTAACAAGCAAAGGAAATAAGGAAACCAGAAAAGAGTCACTCTGGAGACGGCATACTATCAGGGGAGGATGATTGCTTAGTTTCCTTGGCTGGCATGTGCAAAGACAAGTGTGCCGTAAAATTGATGACTTGTGTGGAGGACTAACCTTACTGAGGAGGGGATTCCACCTGGACTAGCTTTATGATTGTCGATTGTCTATTTTGCCATTTATAAACTGAAAGAAGGCACTAAAGATGAGAATAATTTATACAATAAAATATATTAAATGTATAGAAATGAATTTCTATAGGTTAAAAGTTTTGTGAACTATTTTGTAAAGACTAAAATACCATTGAAAGACTAAATGTACGCACTCTCAGCAGACGATCAAATTCAAGAATCTGAGGCCGCACTCCCGTTTGTTGCCGATGATCCATTCAGAGCATCTGAGTTCCCTCCAGGTCTGACAAAGACTTCCCCCTCACTCACCTCCCTCCTCGCCCATGCGCACTAGTACACTAGCGATACACTCTTATGGAACACATACCTTAATAAGTTACCTTCATGGATATTTTTGGAAGAGACGTTTTGTTACTTTTTTTTTAAAGCCGATTGCTGTTCAGAGACAAACTCATGCAAATCATCAAAAGGGGACAAATGCTTTCCTCCAGTTAAATAGCCTGAGCCAACCATGGAGATAGACAAATTCAACTTTGTTCCTAGTCACTTACATACAGTTCAAGAACCATTCAGTATTCTGGCAAACCATAAGTCATTAGGATTATCTTTTCTTTGTTTCACAGAGCAACTGAGTGTTTTGTAACAGAGCCCAATTTGGCATTACAGGGGGAGATCTGTCCTAAGATGCACTATTTCTCTGAGGAAGAGAAAAAAGAGAAGTTATCTAGTTGGGAGTGGTGAGGGATGCGCTTTTCTTGGTTCAGAATATAGGGTAAAGAGAACCACAAAGCAAGGATGATTATGACTTTGAGCTCAACCAATTGAACTGCCTTCCTTAGGGCTGCACCTGGACCAAGTTCATTTTTCTAACAATTATAATAATGATTATTTATTATTCGGGAGCGGGGAAAAAACCCTTCCGAAGCCTATACGCTGAAACATAAGAGTTAGCTTCCCACTTTAGCGCTGATGGTGACGTCAGCACTGGTTCTGCCCAAGGTGTTCAAAGAGAGACTTTTTAGTGTTATTAATAACTACTCATATCTGGGTTCTATGCATGCCCAGACAAAGCCCCATCGCCTTATTTCTGGGGTACATCAAGACCTGGCAGGGATTCTGCCACACTGTGCAGCCAACCAGCATGTAAGCTGGAGTACAAGAACAAAAGACAGAACCATCAGAGTGATGGGGCTTCTCAGTTAGAACATCGGGGCTTAAAACCGAGAGTCTCTTTCCAAAATCAAGGGTTATTCATACCATCGTCTGCCTAGCTGCAGTCACCAAAACAAACATTAAAATGCAAAAGTATGCATCTACCTATAGTTTTGAGGCTGCCTTTGCCAATGAAAGGGGTAGCAAGCAGCCATGCATTTTTCCCCCTCATATGAAAATTCAGTTTTCCAGAGATAGCCTTAGAGGGCTCAAAACATTAAAAGATGTGTCCATGTCTGCAACTCACCAGTTTCAGGTCAAGGCCAACTTCCATCAATATTGCTCTCAGAAGTTTTCTGCCACTAGAATGCCATTCCTGATCCCAGCTCTCTTTATAGGCCGCCATGATAACTTCTTTGGTTTCTCCACTGAGCATGCAACCATTTACCTTAGAGGACTGTCATTAATGAGTAGATGTTTTCTCCAGTTGTGTGATGTGCTTTCCATTGGATAGTATTGCTGTGGCTGAGTACAATCAAATTGAACCACAAACCATTGGTTTTGTAGTAATATAATTATTTATTTTCCCAGTGTAGATGCTTCCAGATTGGCATTAGCACTGATTTTTTATGTAGATTTATATAAATATATATACATATATATTTGCTTGAAGAATCACCAAGCACATTGGTGAGAGGGTCTTTTCCTGTAGAAGTCACACATCCATTCTGTTGTGTCGTCTTGCACTTCCCAATGTTGAGGTCTCTATGGCTCCAAAGAACTGGTGTATTTTGCAGCAAATCCGATGACATATATGGAAATGGCATGAAAGTCACCCAGATCACATCTGGTGCAAATGCACCTGGAGCCTTGGGCCAGACTGGTGCTAACACTGCAAACTTTGTCCGGAGCTCTCTCCAATCTGAAGGCTCGCAGGGGGGCACAGTGTCACCTTCACATGCTGGGCCCTTTCGGAAAAGTGCCAGATCGTGTCACTGGTGCTATTTTTCATGCTCTGGTACAATGTGTAGCACCATGGGGGTCTCAGCTTTACCAAAACCGAAATCCCACCTTTCAGCCAATTATTGCTGAGGCATTTGCTGGTTGCTCTTTTCCATGAGATTGATGGCCTATTTATTCTTTGAAGGCCTTTTCTCCCAGACCCAAATTCAGGGGTTGGCTCTATCCACTTGGCAAGGCCATCTAGATGAAGCTGCACTCGGGTGCCTCTGTGAGCTGTCTTAGATCCTACTGCCAGCCCTTCAGGACTGAGCCAAGGAGTGCTCTGTACACCTCTGGCTCTCACTTGTTTCTTCCCCTCATTTTTTCTACCACTTCCATTCTCTCATCAGCTCTGTCATTTCGACCCTCTCCTTTTATCCTCCCTGGGTCGTGGACCTTGCCCCTCCTCCCTCCTCTTTCTTTCTCTGTCCATCTCTCCTTTACCACCATCTCCTGTTCTCCTCCTTATTCCTTCCTCCCAAACTTACCTGCCCTCTTCCCTCCTCACATAGCTCTGATCATCGCCACACCCCACTCTTTAGTTTTCCTGTCCTATAAAGGGCTCATGGCTGATTCAGACAGCAAGTCCACACAATGGACTAACGACACAAATACTTGGGGTCACCATTTTACTTACTCAGCCCAGAAAGCAAAGCTGAGTGTGAGGCCTGACCTGGAGCCAGCCTGCACCACTGCCCTGGCAGTGCTGATGCAAGAGCTGTGGGCCCCTGGCACCTGGAAGCCTCTGCCTGGACCTGTCTCCAGGAACTCCCTCCCAGCCCCACCCAGGCTGAGGACGCTTTGTTTTAACAGAGGCAAACTCTGGCCCCAACAACTATTGTTAACAAACCTCACTGAAGCCATGACACCGCCCTGGTTTGGAGAGAGAGATCCCCCTACTTTCTTTTTCTCACCTCCATGTGAAGCCCCCCTCTGCTTTTCAGCTGGTGATTGCTCTGGTGAGATTGGATGGACTTGCTAGTGAAAGGACATCTTTCCTGTCTTGGTCCTGCCTAAAATTTCTACAAAATGCATTTAAGCCCAGGACTAAGGCTAGTTCCTAAATTTATTACACTAATGAGTCACTCCTGGGGAGGCATCAGCTTCCTTAAAGCATGTGGAGTATCTCCTGTGACAACAGATTTTCCAGGACACTCCATAGAGAATTCTGTGGATCTGCATTAATTAAGTGTACGGTGTAGATGGTATGCATACCATGTATACACATTACATGAGGTATGATTCAACATGGTTGGAAACACATACACACTTCAGTCTGTAAATATCCTTCCTCACTGAAACCTGTGCTTCAGAAATCATTTCTTGTACAGCTGTGCAGTTTCTTGTAGCAGCTGAAGACAAGCTAAGACAGGCAGAAAATTTAGACAAAGATCAGCTAAAAGAGTGCAGTGTCTCCCTCGCAGCTCATGTGGACAGACAACCAAATGGCAAGGTTGACTTCCCGATGGGATGGAAAACTTTTCTTCTTTTCAAATTTGTGTTTCCTAAGTGTATCTTAACTTCTGAGTGCACCAGGTTGTACCCATTAGATCCTTTTACTATGACAATTCTGTGCTTCTCTCTGACAGGATGTTTCTCCATCAAGCTGTAACGCAGGATGGGAGGGGAGGGAGGGAGGGGGAATTACTCCTTGCCTGGCTGGAGTTTACAGAGAATCTGCACAGCTTACACTCCTGTTAAGTGTAAATATTCAACACTTCCATTCCATTTGTGTAAAAAAATAAAGCACACACGATTATAAAATCAAGATGTATATTTCATACTCCGTGTGTCTGTGAGTATTTATTGCGTTTCCACATATCAGTGGTGGCCCCATTGTAAAACTGCTTGATAGAGTGTTTATAAACATCGTGGTTTTCTTATATAAATATTAAAACATTTCCTACTTTATAGCAAAATTATATTCTCCCAAAGCATAGTTTCTGTTATTTCATAAGAGACTCACTCATTTCTATTTTTACCAAATATGTCTGATTTCAGAGCTAATATGCAGTTAGAGTGTATTTGCACTGAAAAATATTGGCGCTACTGAGAGGAACTGAATGGGCTGCATCTGCATATTTTTAAATATTTGATTATCATCTTGCCTGCTTCTAATCAGAATATTTTTCAAGAATGAATAATGTACTAAAAGTTAGGCTTTCTAGGACATACCTTTATATGAAGAAAAAAAATTCCCAATATAGAAAATGCTAAGAATGAGGGTTTTTTTCCTTTGTCTAATGCTTAAAGCACAAAGAAAGACCTAATTTGGAGACACAATGTCATTATCTATACATCCTGGGGCCACAAAATATACCAGCACCAAAGATCTGAGCACATAAAAAATGTCACATGAAGGAGCCTAGTTTTGCCAGTCCTAAATTCTCTGGTTTAAACCTACTCTGCCATCTTGGCATTTAGGTAACACAGGTGTTGGAGTTGAAGGCCCAAAACAAACTTCTCCCATGGAAGGGGTGAAAATATTTCCGTCAATGCAATCACTCTCGAGTATAACATGGAATACATTATCACATAATTGGAACACCAGTTCTGAATCCAGCTCGTTGATCATAACATCCTGGCCATCACTGTGAGCCAAGAAGAATGATGAATGATGCTGTCCTGAGTGCTTAGTGGTAAACAGCCTCTCAGTTTAACACACTGAGGCTGCAAGACCAGTGCAGCCCGAACCTGCAGTTGCAGTAATTTAATTATTATTAATATTCATTCAGCCTTGTCTGCCTTAATATTAATGTTATTCTTCACAAAAGCCAGATTAGTTTCAGTTAAAGTGTCTATTCAGAAGAAAAAGGCTGAAGGAGGCTCTGGCTTGTGTGTCCTCTTTCATTTTTTATGTCATGATCATTCTAGAAGTCTCAAAAGCTAGAATTGAGCTGCACATCTCTGAACCTAAATGGGTCTAGCTAAGAATCTGACCTGTGTGTTAACAGGTCCCCCACAGACAACCATCCAGTGATAGAACATAAATGACCAAGGCACAAAACCAAGGAAGACTTGTCGAGGGAGATATCTCCTTTCTTGATACAACCAGACAGTCTCCAAAGGGAAGGATATTTTCCACGGGTCAGAAAATATGGGACTTGATAGTATCAATGCCACCCTGCAACTCCCCTCTCTTAGGAACATCTCAGAAGGTAGCCCTGCTATCATTAAACTGACCTCTCCTCTTTCCCATCAAACTTACAACTTATGTCAAAACTAGGCTCTGTCCCTAATTCCCCTTAGCATAGTTAAGACAAAGTTAGAATAATTCAGTGAATTTTGCTAAATCTTTGGAATTACAAAGAGAAATAAATGAGAATTTGAACTATGATATGAGCTTAGTGCCCATGCCCAGGAGTTCTCCCCAACATAGCTACAGCAGAATCATCCCTCTGTGTCCATAGCTGACCCAGCAGCAGATGTATCAGGTGAGCTGTCTGTAATCTCCATCCCTTTTCCACATACTCATTGCAAATAGAAGCAACTCACTGTGATTAACTGTGATTGCTTTTTCACAGTAACCTTTAATGGATAAATGATCTGGAGCATATCTCAATACTCAGGGCCAAGGGTACCACTTCCCTCCTACCTTTACAGCCAAGACCTATCTTCCCAGTTCTGGTTGTATGGTTGGATAATTGATCAGTTCATAAAATTCTGTTCTTTAAGGCCTGTTTGTATATGCTGCACAGCAAAAATCTAATCTTATCAGGGGTTAAACACAACCAGGATTTCCTCTAGCATCCATCTACATCCACCTGAAAGGAGAGAGAAGGGGAAAAGTATTTTTATTTTCAAGGAGGCAGTTTAAATTCCTTGTGGTCCTCAAAAGCAAACAATAATAAAAATGTCCTTAGTGTGGAATTAGAGTTTCAGGAAGGGGAAGTTATTGATTCCATGAAAATATGAAACCAGCTTTATTATCTCTATACTCCACAGAATTTTAGGTAGTCAGAATTCAAACCACAAACTATTAAAGATAAAGACCATGAGCCTGACATCAGATTTGAAAGTAATTTAAGTAAGATTATAAGAAGATACTGCCTTGGAAATCCCAGTGGAGAGAGCGCTCCAAGCTAGAAGTTAAAACTATCAAAACTTTCCAGTGAATGGGCATGGCAGCAAGCATAATCTGTGGACAGGCTACAAGACTATTAAAGACACAGGTGTAGGTCATGAAAAGCAAACAATCTAATCAGGAGAATAAGGTTGTAGAAAGTGTGTCATGGGTAAAACTGAAGTCAGTTGACACATTAAGAATTGGAGTATTAAGGCTGGGGGTGGTGATGCATATCCTTTAATCTTGGTACTCCAGAAGCAGAGGCAGGTGGATCTTTATGAGTTTGAGACCAGTCGGATCAATAGAGAGCATTCCAGGCTAGTCAAAGATACATAGTGAACCATGTCTCAAAATTAAAAAAAAAAATCAATCAAGTATTCAGGCCAACATTTTATTCAAAGGCTAGCTAGCAGTTGCATAAATAAAATTTTTCAAGTAGGGCCACCTAGGTGGCTCAGTGGGTAAAGGTGCTTGCCCCACAAGCCTAGCCACCTAGTTCTATCCCTAGAACCCACCTGAAGGCAGAGGGAGAGAACAGACTCCTGCAAGTTGCCCTCTGACCTCTACAAATGCACTGAGGCTCATATATGCACGCGCGCGCACGCGCACACACACACACACACACACACACACACACACACCATGCACATATACACACAATGATAATAAATTCAAACTTATAAAAAGTAAAATTTCCAAAGGAAAGAATTTCCAAAGAAGCTGAAGTGTTTAATTATTTATCATTATCATTCCTTATACTTTTGGTCAAATAATAAACATTTGCCTACAGCCAGATCTATTTACATGCCTCTGTAAAATGTAAAACAAAATACACAGAGTAGTCTGTCTTCTCAAGGAATATAATTCCCGTCATAGAGATGTAAAAGAAAAAAATCATTGTAATGTAGACACTCTGAAACAAATTGGTGAGCACACAAAAACCCGGAAAGGGTGACGTTGACATCTGGAAACAGCTCACTCACCTGCTAACAGTTTAACAGTTTGCTCCATTGCTCACACGTGTGAGGAACCTTGTCTCTATAGAAAAACGAATCCTCCCCGCCCCCCCTCTCTCTCCCTCTCTCTCCATTTTTTTAAGATAGACTCTTGTGATGCAGCCCTGGCTGACTCGATATTCATTATATAACTGTCCCGGCTGGCTGCAAGCTCATAAGCAAGAGTCCTGCCTCAGTCTCCTATGTTCTAGGATTACATGTGTATGTCACTTTGTCAAGCTCTAAACTGAGTCTCTTTCCTTATATTCCTGAGTCTGCCAATCCTGCACATCTCATCCCCATTCAATTTTATTGCTCACCTCACTGGACTATGTATATTTTGGTTTGGTTGGTTTGGGTTGGGTTGGGTTGGGTTTGCTTTGGTTTAGTATGGTATGGTTTGGTTCAATCAATCCTGCAGCTTCAGATCCAGTGGCAGTCATAGCTACAGATTAAGTCCAGCCCATGGGAATATGTTGATTTAAATGAGATGACCCTCAAAGTCTTAGACCTTTGAATACTTAGTCCCTAGTTGGTGGTGCTGTTTGGAGAGGCTTAGGAGGTGTGGCCTTATAGAAGAAATATGTCACTGAGGGCAGACTTTGAGAGTTTAAAGACTCAAGCCATTGTTCATTCATTCTCTCTACTTTGTGCTTGCAGCTTAAGATGTGAGCCCTCAGCTTCCTGCCCCTACCATCATACTTTCACTGCATCATCATAGACTCTAACCCTCTAAAAACGTAAGCCCAAATGAACTCTTCTATAAGTTACCTTGGTCACAGTGTTTCATCACAGCAACAGAAAAATATCTAATAACACTTGCCCAGTGAGAAGTAGGGAAAAATGTCTTCTTCAACTATCAGAAATGGGTCCCTGAAACTGCTGGCCAAAAAGTCTTGGCTTCAACCCTGTATGTATATCAGGAGCTTGCCACAAACCAGAAAAGCTGCCACCAGTGTCCCAGCCTCTGCTACCATCTGTGTTTAGTCTGGGAACTAGGAAAAGGCTCATCCCCAACACAGCCTTGAAGTTCTGTCTATGGAGTGCTTAAAAAACTTGATCCTTAGGATCAAAAGAAGGTCTTATCTATGACCTTCATCTCCAGGATTATGCCAAACAATGCTACATGCCTCAGTTCCACAACTATTTGTGATCCAGTAGATCAGAGACATTGCTTCCACATCATTCAGCTCCAAGATGACAAATAGCAAAGCTACAAGACCTAACTCCAGGGTTGATCAACCCATGGGACCTAGAGAAGATATCCTCCACATTCTACATTATCTAGAAGCAAGTATATCTGTGCTACAAGATGAAATGTTCTCTGCATGTGTCTAGCCACAGATAAGGAACTTCTCCTCCATAGCCTGTAAACATGGGACTGCAAGTTCTTGTGCCCAAAGTCCTAACATAATTTCTGTTTGCTCCTTGGTTCTTGGAAAAAGTACTATCTTGGCCCTACATTTTCAGAAAAGTGACCACCAGCATTGCAAGCCCCAGTACCACCAACTAGCACACTGGACCTAGGGAAGTCTCCTTTTTCTCAAAATCTTGAGCCTGTTGCCAGTAAAGAAAACATACAGATGCACAGAACTCAGTAGATGAAGAGGCACAAGAAAAAGAAATGAAAATCAAACTTTATCACAACAAAAAAAAGCTATCAAATACAAAGACAATAAAGAGAGGCAGAAAGAAATTAAGAATATACGTGAGATTAAAG